GCTTGGTATTCCGGTAGTGCTTCTTGTAGTTCAGAAGCATTCTAATTAATGAAATACTAATAATTTTATATTTGTTGAAATTGTTCTTCATTTTAATTATTGTATTGTTTTCAAGTGTTTTTTGCACTACAAATAAGATATGTGCAGTGTGCATGGAATTCATTCATCCTTTTTTCAAATTATAATCTGGCCCTCCAACAGTTTGAGGAACTGTGACCTGGCCCTCTGTTTAAAAAGATTGATGATCCCTGGTGTAAGCTATGTGTAAACTAAGTGTAAGCCAGATATTGTAACTTTGGAACAATTAAAAATATTGTTTTAAAAAGATAACAGCAAAGAGGGCCTTCCCTTCTGCGATCTCCCCATGATGTGATGCCCTCCTCTTCAAAGTCCACCTAGTGCAGAGGTTGACGTAATTCCAGTCTCCGGGTCTGCGTTATCATGCCTTTCTTTTAAAGTAAATTACAACTCAGGAACCATTGATAAGAGAAGGTTAAAATAGTAAAACATAAACAACGGGCGGTGGCCAGGTTGTTAACTGGTGCTCCTTACAGGGAGCGGTCAACCCTTCTGTTTAAGGAGCTCCACTGGCTGCCGTTCATTTTCCGGTCCCAATTCAAGGTGCAGGTTCTTACCTACAAAGCCCTAAACGGTTTGGGACCCGCCTACCTGCGTGACCGCATCTCTTTGATCATCCAGAGAGCCCCTGCTCGCGCTCCTACCGCCATCGCAGGTGCGATTGGTAGGGACAAGGGAGAGGGCCTTCTCAGTGGTGGCGCCTCGACTCTGGAACTCACTCCCAAGGACATCAGGCATGCCCCAACTCTGGCAGTCTTTAGGAGGAGCCTGAAAACGTGGTTGTTCCAGTGTGCCTTCCCAGAATAAGGAAATTCCCAGCAATATGTCCTCTAAATGCACTTTACTATTGGTCATCCAGTTATAACCACAAGTTGTTGTTGTTCATTCGGTCAGTCGTCTCCGACTCTTCGTGACCTCATGGACCAGCCCACGCCAGAGCTCCCTGTCGGCCGTCACCACCCCCAGCTCCTTCAAGGTCAGTCCAGTCACTTCAAGGATGCCATCCATCCATCTTGCCCTTGGTCGGCCCTCTTCCTTTTGCCTTCCACTTTCCCCAGCATCATTCCCTTCTCTAGGCTTTGCTGTCTCCTCATGATGTGGCCAAAGGACTTCCACTTTGTCTCTAGTCTCCTTCCCTCCAGTGAGCAGTCGGGCTTTATTTCCTGGAGGATGGACTGGTTGGATCTTCTCGCAGTCCAAGGCACTCTCAGAACTTTCCTCCAACACCACAGCTCAAAAGCATCGATCTTCCTTAGCTCGGCCTTCCCTAAGGTCCAGCTCTCACATCTGTAGGTGACTACAGGGAATACCATGGCTTTGACTAGGCGGATCTTTGTTGCCAGTGTGATGTCTCTATTCTTTACTATTTTACTGGACATTGCTCTCCTCCCAAGAAGTAAGCGTCTTCTGATTTCCTGGCCACAGTCTGCATCTGCAGTAATCTTTGCACCTAGAAATACAAAGTCTGTCACGGCCTCCACGGTTTCTCCCTCTATTTCCCACGCCCTATCCCTCTCCAAAAACTCTATCCGTCATATTTCACCTGTTCATGCTCAGCATTATCTTTAAAATTTTAATTATGACATTTGGCCCAGCCATAGGTTTTTTAAACGTCGTTGTGTTATTGTTAATGTTTATTGCTTATTTTTGTTATGAGTTTTATTTTATTGCTTGTATTATTGTTGTTATTGTTTGTATTACTGATGTATTGTGGGCTCGGCCTCATGTAAGCCGCACCGAGTCCCTTGGGGAGATGGTAGCGGGGTATAAATAAAGTATTATTATTATTACACCAAAAAACCCACGATATGGTTCAGATATGTGGATGACACCTTCACCATTTGGAGCCATGGAGAAGAAGAACTCAACAGGTTCCTGGACCATCTTAACAGCATCCACCCAAACATCCAGTTCACCATGGAAAAAGAAAATGAAGGAAGACTGCCTTTTCTAAATGTCCTAGTCATCCGCAAACCAGATCAACAATTGGGTCACACCGTCTACAGAAAACCCACACACACAGATAGATATCTACATAAAAACTCCAACCATCACCCAAGTCAAAAAAGAAGCACCATTAAAGCCTTGGCAGACCGTGCAAAAAGAATCTGCGAACCCCACCTCCTCCAAGATGAACTGAACCACCTCAACTGGGCTCTCCAGGCCAGTGGATACTCCACCTCAGACATCAGAAGAGCTGCAAGACCAAGAACAAGCCACGAGAGTAAAGATGAAGATCCACCCAGAGGAAAAGTGTTCCTGCCATACATCAAGGGAACCACTGATCGCATAGGGAAGCTGATGAGGAAACACAACATTCAAACAATCTACAAATCCACCAAGAAAATCCAACAAATGCTACGTTCAGCAAAGGACAAGAGGGAGCCTCTCACCTCTGCAGGAGTCTACCGTATACCATGCAGCTGTGGACAATCTACATAGGGACCACCAAACGCAGCATTGCCCAAAGACACATCAAGGAACATACAAGAATCTCAGCATTAACATGAATCAGCCATAGCAGAGCACTTGATGAACCAACCTGGACACAGCATATTATTTGAGAACACAGAAATGCTGGACCACACCAACAACCACCATGTCAGACACACAGAGAAGCCATTGAAATCCACAAGCATGTGGACAATTTCAACAGAAAGGAAGAGACCATGAAAATGAACAAAATCTGGCTACCAGTATTAAAAAACTCTAAAATTATAACAGCAAAACAACAGAGAGGAAAAAACCAGGCACAGATTAACACCTCCCAGCAACAGATTTTCCCAGACTCAGGCAGGCCTTCAAATGCTAATGAAGGTGATCAGCTAAACATTCACACCTAACTGCAGCAGAGAAGAGCTCCTTGCCCCACCCCGGTCATTCCACAGATATATAAACCCATTTTCCTAGTTCCAACAGACCTCACTACCTCTGAGGATGCTTGCCATAGATGCAGGCGAAACGTCAGGAGAAATGCCTCTAGAACATGGCCATATAGCCCGAAAAAACCTACAAGAACCTAATAATACTTTGTTTTTGTTTTGGGAACACAAGCTAATGTTGTAAAAAAACACACACATATACTGGAGCTGGAGGAAATATGTGAAGCCCTGAGTGGCTGCAACACATCCACTGCTCTCCGGTAATGACCAAAGGAAGGCTGAGATCAGGAGGAAGAGGAGGGCAGAAGGGCCTATTAAGAAAGGAGAGGAGAATGAAAGGAAGGATGAAGGAGAAGGGTGAGAAAGCTACACAGGAATGGTTAGCTTCTGGCCTTCCAAGCAGGAAAAGAGTGTGCTTCCCCTTTAAAATCCCGGGCTGTTTCCTGCAGGATTCAAGAGTTGTTGTTATTATTATTATTATTATTATTTACTTTATTTATACACCGCAAAATCTCCCGTAGGACTCAATGCGACTTACGAAGGCCAAGGCCGCCAACAATCAACGACATACAATACACAATAAACTCAAAAGCAAATAGTAAACATCAAGCAAAACAATAAAACAGTAAAACAATGACACCGTGACATAATTAAAACCAAAGGCCGGGCCAAATGTAATGGACAAAAATTAAAATGCTGAACTTGACAGGTAATATGTAGAGGTATATGGAGGTAGGTGCAATGTGCTTAAAACCAGGAGTTTCCTATTCTGGAAAGGCACACTGGAACAGCCAGGTCTTCAGGCTCTTCCTAAAGACAGCCAACGTTGGGGCTTGTCTGATGTCCTTGGGGAGAGAGTTCCAGAGTCGGGGGGGCACCACAGAGAAGGCCCTGTCCCTCGTCCCCACCAAACGCGCCTGCAATGCAGGTGGGATCGAGAGCAGGGCCTCTGCAAATGCTCGAAGGGAGCGTGCGGATTCATAAACGGAGATGCGGTCACGCAGGTAGGAGTTTGTGGTTTAGGGAGGCCCAGAATCCCCTGTCAGAGTATTAATAATAATAATAATAATAAACTTTATTTATACCTCGCTACCATCTCCCCAAGGGATGCGGAGCGGCTTACACGAGGCCAAGCCCAATAACACATCAGAACAGAAAAGCGATAATAAATAATACAAAGCAATACAAAATAATATAAATCACATATAACAATAACACACAAGATTTAAAAGCTTATGCCCATGCCAGATGTAATGATTTATAATTTTAAAAAATAACGCTGGGTATGACAAGATAGGATATGTCTTGTAGGAGGGTTTTTAAAAAGTGAGGGGTACAGTCCAACGCAATCCAATGGTTAAAGTACATTTGTAAGGACGTTTTGCTGGGCACACTGGAATAGCCACGTTTTCAGGCTCCTCTTAAAGACTGCCAGTGTTGGGGCATGCCTGATATCCTTAGGATGTGAGTTCCAGAGTCGGGGGGCCACCACCGAGAAGGCCCTCTCCCTCGTTCCCACCAATCGTGCCTGCGAGGGAGGCGGGAGCACGAGCAGGACCCCTCCGTAAACACATTGCAGTGTAAGAAATCACATAAACAGAATCTTCTTGCCCTCTACCCTTTGTATCTGAGGAGGGATTGTTCATTGTTGGGCAGGTGTTAAAAGATTTGCCACAGGACAACAGGCACCTTCCCTCCTACCCTGGCTTGCTACAGCACTAGGCTATGGTTCTGTTTGGCTGACCACATGCCCTTGCACAAACCTGCCCAGGCCCTGAGACCTTCGGGAGAGGCCCTTCTCTTGGTCCCACTTCCATCCCAAGCTTGGTTGGTGGATATGAGAGAGCAGGCCTTCTTGGTGGCTGCTCCTTGACTCGGGAACTTTCTGCCCTATTAAGCCAGAATGGCCCCCTCCCTGTTGTCCTTCCGGCCACACACTAAAACCTTTTTATTCAGACAGGCTCTTAAAGATGAAGGTTTCAAAGATCAATTCAGCGGGTGCTGTGGCTTTTAACTCTGAATATGTTTTAATGGTGTTTAATTGGGAACTTTTCAACAGATTTCATTATTTATTTAATGTTTGCCTATTTCCATATTATACATTATATGCTGATGCTTTTATGTTAAGCCGCTTTGAGTCTCCTGCAGGAGAGATAAAGCGGGGTATAAATAGATATAATGACAATAATTCACATTCAGTGAGATCTTTCCCTGTTCAACTCCTGAAGAGATTTTCCTCTCATTTATCTGACAGATAACCTGTGAACAAGTCTTGTGAAGAACACCTTGTGAGAGCGTTGCCCTAGGAATCCTGTAAGCCTAAAGTGACTTGAAGATACACAACAATAACAAGAAGAAAAAATAAGTAGTACAAAATATATCTCAAGCTATATACCTGTATAGATTGTGCTATAAAAAGAGAGGCTTGGGAAAACCAGCAGAAGTCTACAGCAGTACAAAGACTTGAATTATAAATATAAAAGAATGGCAAGTCCTCTACCTACCTATCCCAAATCAAGCACAGGGGTGAAGTTACATCAGTGTGTGGAATGTGGGAAAAAATTTTGTTGGAAAGGTTCTCTTACTGTACATGAACGGACCCACACAGGGAAGAAGCCATATAAATGCATGGAATGTGGAGAAAGCTTCAATGAGAGTGGCACTTTACGTGTCCATCAAAGGACCCACACAGGGGAGAAGCCATATAAATGCATGAAATGTGGAAAGAGCTTCAGTCACAGTTCAAGTCTGCATATCCATCAAAGGACCCACACAGGGGAGAAGCCATATAAATGCATGGAGTGTGGAGAAAGCTTCAGTCATAGTCACTCTCTGCTTTCCCATCAAAGGACCCACACAGGGGTGAAGCCATATAAATGCATGGAATGTGGAAAGAGCTTCGGTCAGCGTGGAACGCTGCGTTCCCATCAAAGGACCCACACAGGGGAGAGGCCATATAAATGCATGGAATGTGGAGAAAGCTTCAGTCAGAGTGGCAGTCTACGTTCCCATCAAAGGACCCACACAGGGGAGAAGCCATATAAATGCATGGAATGTGGAGAATGCTTCCAAGGGAGGACCAGTTTACATACCCATCAAAAGAACCACACAGGGGAGAAGCCATATAAATGCATGGAATGTGGAAAGAGCTTCAGTCACAGTTCAAGTCTGCATATCCATCAAATGACCCACACAGGGGAGAATCCACATAAATGCCTGGAATGTGGAAAAAGCTTCAGTCACAGTGGCAGTCTACGCTCCCATCAAAGGACCCACACAGGGGAGAAGCCACATAAATGCATGGAATGTGGAAAGAGCTTCAGGCACGGTGGACATCTGCGTTCCCATCAAAGGACCCACACAGGGGAGAAGCCACATAAATGTATGGAATGTGGAGAAAGCTTCAGTCGGAAAAACAGCCTACATTCCCATCAAAGGACCCACACAGGAGAGAAGCCATATGAATGCAAAGAATGTGGAAAGAGCTTCAGTCACAGTGTGGGTCTGAGTGCCCATCAAAGGACCCACACAGGGGAGAAGCCATATAAATGCCAAGAATGTGGAAAAAGCTTCCGTCGGAGATACCATCTACGTTCCCATCAAAGTACCCACACAGGGGAGAAGCCACATAAATGCACAGAGTGTGGAAAGAGCTTCAGTCGGAAATACCATCTACATTCTCATCAAAGGACCCACACAGGGGAGAAGCCATATAAATGCATGGGATGTGGAGAAAGTTTCAGTCAGAGTGTACACCTACATTCCCATCAAAGGACACACACAGGGGAGAAGCCATATAAATGCATAGAATGTGGAAAGAGCTTCAGTCAGAGTGGAAATCTGCGTTCCCATCAAATGAGGCACATAAGAGAAGCTACATAAATGCACATAATGTGGAAAGAGCTTTAGAAAAAGTTCAGCATGCAATAGACACCAAAAAACCCATGCAAGGCTAGAGGAGACCTGCCTTTGAATTTCCGAAATCTCTTTAAAAGAACAATGAGTCACAAAGAAAATTTTGATTCAACAGATATGAAAAATTATAAACCAATTTCTCTTCTGAATCTTGACTACAATATTTTTACCAATGTATTGGCACAAAGTCTAAAATTATTTTTAAATGAATGGATCATAAAAGATCAAATGCCTTTATCCCCATTGTTATTTATAATGGCTCTTGAAGTATTGTTAAATAATATAAGAGAAGATAAAGAGTTATTGGGAATGAAAATAAGAAAAGAGACATAGAAAGCAAGAGCCTTTGCAGACAATTTAGTTTGTACAGTAGAAAATCCAAGCGAAAATATTCAGAATTGTAAAATAGAAGAATTTGAAAAACTATTTGGATTTAAATTAAAGAGATCTAAAACATAAATCCTAACAAGATATATGTCAAAAAAGAATCAAGAACTTCAAAAAAAAGACTGGCTTACAAATAGAGAAGAAAATAAAGTATCTAGGAATTTATTTAACACCAAAAAAAAATCACATCTGTTGAAGAACAATTATAAAGCAAAATAGAACGAAAGTCGCCTTCGGGTTGATATGAGCGGGATAGAAAAAGCGTAAATAAATAAATAAAATTAATTAAAAAAGACTTAGGCAATTGGAAACATATGAATTTGTCCTTTTTTGGAAGAATTGCTCTAATAAAAATCAATGTTCTACCGAAAATTTTATATTTGTTCCAGATGATATCAATGTTAAGAAATATGCAGATATTTCAACTATGGAACAAAGAAATAAGAAGATTTATCTGGCAAGACAAAAAACAAACAAACCAAGAATGAAGTTTACCAATTTGATAGACCAAAAAAAGAGAAGTGGCTTGCATTCATCAGACCTCCAACTATATTATGAGGCATGTAGTTAAGTTGGATAAAACATGTGGTCAACTTTAAAAAGCACAAAAATTCTGACACTTCAACCTTAGACAGGTTTGGCACTCATATTTGTGGTATAAAAAAAAAGAAAGTAGAAAAGAAAAGAAGCATGGTCTGGGAGAACAAAATGAAGCGGAACGCAGGCTGATAGAATTTTGCCAGGAAAACTCGCTGTGT